ACAGGAGATTTTGTGTTGATTTAATATAATACGGATATGTTCAATGGAGACACAAATATTGTGTTAATATTTTCACACAAAATAAATGCAAAACTTCAAATTTGAAATAAATTTAATATATTTAACACAAAAATTTTAATTGTTAAATTTAACAGATGTCCTAAACGGTTCACAAAAGATTTTGTGTTAATTTAATATAATACGGATATGTTCAATGGAGACACAAATATTGTGTTAATATTTTCACACAAAATAAATGCAAAACTTCAAATTTGAAATAAATTTAATATATTTAACACAAAAATTTTAATTGTTAAATTTAACAGATGTCCCAAACGGTTCACAGGAGATTTTGTATTAAATTTAATATAATACGGATATGTTCAATGGAGACACAAATATTGTGTTAATATTTTCACACAAAATAAATGCAAAATTTCAAATAATTCGAAATAAATTTAATATATTTAACACAAAAATTTTAATGGCGACCGTTTTTCTACAAGATCAATTTTTCTACTATGTATATATAATCCCTTTTGAAATATTTTAATTCAATAAATGGGTAATTGTAATTTAATTGCTACTGTAATCGTAAAGATATTGGAAGATATTTTTGCATTTTTTAAATAGTTTACTCTTATTAACTTGCGACCTGAATTTGTATAAAAATATAAATTCAGATCGCAAGTTAATAAGAGTCAAATGCACAAATTAAGCGTGCAACTTTATTTAAAAATTTTTTTTAATTAGTTTGAATGTTTCGATCTTAAATTCATGTATCTTGATCTACTTTTGTATCTCCGTCTCATGTCTTTGATACATCTTCAAAATTATTGAATTTAAAAACAATTGGTTCTTATTATTCCTTATTATCATTATAGAGTGTAAAAATATAAGATATAAGAGTGTAAAAATATTGAAGGCTAATAATATAAATGTAGATTAAAAAAAATGAATATTTAATTCGCCGCCTTTTTAAAGAGTAATGCAAGATTATTTTTAAAAAATTCGAAAATACTTTTTTAACATATAATTTTTCGATCTAAAAAAAAGTCAAATGTAAATCTTGAAATCCAAATAAATTATATTTTCAACGTTTTTTTTTTTTTTCATTAAATATTATATTAAATATTTATTAAATATTTTTATTAAATTGTGAAGATAAATATGCGTCTTTTAGAACAACAAAAATAATAAGATGCAGATAAATTATGCAAATTATATTCTAATTAGAATAAGACTACAATTTCAGCGCCAAATTATATACAGCACATGATGTATTGACGCAACTGTACCGTATTATTCGGTACAGTTACATACGCAAGAATGCAAGTTTATCTTCCTCTTGTAAGATGATCACAGCTTAAATATACGGCCCCAGTTTCCATTTGCGCACGTCTGCGTTTATCTATCTCTCTCTCTCTCTCTCTCTTTCTCTTTCTCTCTCCCAGCCTCTCTCTTTACCCACCAACAGTTCTACTATCATTTTACTATCATTAGCACTGTCGTCGTATCAATCTTATGTCTGTATAGCCTCAAAAATGGAGGCGTGTCAAGCATATTATCTTTATAAGCATGTGTTTACTATATGCGGAGCGTTTCATGTGAATGCGGCATGATTAATATTCGCAATTCATCATAGTAATGTATAATCTTGGATAAAAATATAGATTACATATTACAATATATAAAAAATAATTTTAGAAAATTGTAATAACTCAAACCAATTGGTTTCTACAATTTAAAAAATATTTTATTAATATACTTGATATAAAAAAATGTGTGTCGCTTTTAACTTGTGCATATTAATTAATTTAATTTATTACCAGTTTATTAAAAATATTCTATATTTCTTGCCAAGACAAAATAAAATGTCCCATCACAACAGCTTTTTTTCAAGAATTTTGTAATTACAAGAGAAATAATATCTCCAAATAAGATAATATCATTAATATCGATAACAGAATAGCTACAAGAAAACAGTTATCAATGCTTCATTAATTATGTATATGATGCCTAAAATATAGAGAAAAAAAATAGTAATTCGATCATTTCAATGAAAAGTTAACTTCAGCAAAGAACTTAATTAATCTGAAACCAATTATTTTGTTCCCAGAATTGTGCTGCTGGCAATATATGTCAACTTATTTATTCTGCTCTATTTCCATTCAAGATTCCGCATATTTTTTCTCGTAATGTACGTGTATTGTGATTGCGTCTATGAAATTATCACTAGAACGCAATACACGTGACGTTTGATGAGAAAAAGAAAACCTTGGTCTTTAACACAAGCGGTTCTTTGTCTGTCGAGCAATTAGCTCGACGTCACACGTCGATATAATCTAACCAACAATAAACACCTCGACAGATCATTTTTCATTTCCGGAGCGCGTAAAATTCGAATTTTCGTTCGAATTTTCGCTCCCGAAGGACGAGGGAGATAAGACATTGACACGACGTCGACGAGGATGACGCCACTTGTTTTGCAGTCGTTTCGCCTAATAACACTGTGCCCGTACTCACCTACCCGAGTTCGTGCCTCGTCTACAAAGTGGCGACAGAGTAGCTCTTTCGACCTCTCTAACTCTCGCCCTACATGCGGGAAGAAGACCTCTCTTCCGGATTCGCGAGAACGACAATTCCGGTTTCTCCACTTCGTTTCTCTATATCGAAAGAAAGGTGCCCCGAGAGTGGAGCGCGTTACACTCCGGACAATACCGGGTGGTTGCGAATGCAACCGACTGCCGACTACCAACTTTGGCACGAGCATCACGTGCCGCGATAAAGCAACGTGCCGCGAGACGATCGAGGCAAGGTCGGTCGACCTACAAGGTCTTTTTCAGGAGGACTCGACACGTCAAATCGCGTCCCGCGGATTTAACCCTTTCGCTACGTGTGACGACTGTGTGCAGCTGTTAAGTGCTCGTTGTAACACGTTCATCGGGTACCGAGAAAGTTTTCCCGTACACGAGACACATGAATTTGCCATGATGTTTCTCGTTTGTTCGCGCGCGCGTGAACAAGATTTGTGTAACCAATTTGGAACACATTTCTTTTTATTTTCGACGAAAAATATACGACGCGCTTTATTTTATGGGAAAAATGAAACGTCAGTGGTTTCTGAGAATCGTGAATAAAGGAAATTGTATTAAGCTCGCGGAGATGTAAAAGATCTTGTTTAGCAGACTCGTCGATTTTCTATTTAGGAAGAAATGTCTATATGTAATGTCAATTAGAAGACAAACGAAGCTTTATTAGTGAAGAAAGCGAACGAATTTAATCGCTCTAACGTCTATGATAATAACAGTTCATTGTAGCATATATTCGATGTAACAAACATACCATCTATAATAATAGATCGAGAATTCACCACGAACTTGCGAATATTTCGATTATACTCGATGAAATAATAGTAATAGTTTCTAAACGATGTGTGCAAAAAAAATTTTGTTTTATATAACTTGATTTTTTTCAATTTAATGAAATTATAAACATTTATATGTAGCATGTATCTGTAATTGAAATAAAATAATGTTTTTTAATAATATTCTCTTATATTTTTTTACGATCTTATAGTAATGGTCGTTTTCAATTAAAACTTTTTGCGGTACAATAATCAGTAAAAGAGAGATTAAGCATTATCGAGCATAGAGAAAATTAAAAATGATAACCGTTACCACAGTGAAATCATTTTTATAATAATTAAACTTGAAAATATAGCGATCATGTTTCCCATAGAGTTATTTATTTCTGGTTATACAAGCGCATTAAAGTGCACATTAAATTACACTTCACAAAACATAATGAAATTGAATAAAATGTCGATACGGATGAATAGAACACATATTGATTTTATCCTAAGTCGCGTTCCCATAAAAAATTAAATGAGATTCGATTGGTTCCGCGCTCTCTTACTTCGTCGAGCTTCGGTAAAATAGCTCGGTTTATCTTTAACTAACGTTTACAGGGGAGCCGGCAGGCAGCTAGATTACCGAAATGTAAATTACTCCAGTTTCGAAACAAACGGCTTACAGACGCGCGTCCGTCACGATGTTTGCGTGCCCGATTCATGAATGCGCCGCATTCATAATTCTAACATTGTCAGTGTGTAATGCGCGTGACAAGGTCTAATGTAGCGTATAACGAGGCGAATGATCGCCAACGACGCAATCGATATACGACTTGGGAGTATAATAACCAAGAGCGAGTGTGCAACGTCTCGCTATCAAGTAGAGAAGGTCAACGGGGAGACGTTTGCGCGAACAATTACGCGGCATTCGCCGCTAATGGAAGGAAACAAAGAAATATGCACGTGTAACCATATGATCTAACTCTCTCTGCTTCTTCATCTACCTATGTTAAATTATTTTTCCCACGAAGACGTGTGATGCAAAACACGTCATCGGGGCCACGCGACCCTCCCGTGATTCCTTTTTCTGCACGCAACTCGCGACATTTTCATGAATGAAAGGGTGCACGTTAATTAACTAAAGAAGGTAGCGGCTTAGTTTCTAAAATTAAGACTTGACAGCTGGAGATTACAACAAATTGCGACATATCGATATACGATTTTATTCACACTCCGACACTCTGAACATTCTTAAAAACGGGTCACGCTTCAGGGTGACTCGGCTGGTTGAAATTTCGAAATTTCTGCGAATATATATGGTACGTCACTTTGAAGTCACATTAGGCCGTTGTGTGAGTTAAACGCTGTTAAATGTCACGTGTCACGTACGGAACTGTTAGACGAGCATAGCGAATGCGCGATGTAAAAGCCGTGTCGCGCATTAACAGAACGGTCTGGGAGAACGTGGGAACGCGGACACGCCGAATAACTCGAAAACGCTTGCACTAGTCGATCCCGGGTTGCGTGTTTGGACGAAACAGCTGTCCCGCAGCTATGCTTATCGAATCGAGCGACTTCAACCACGATATTTCCGAGCCGTAGGTTTTCGGCGAAAATATTAGGAATTGCTTGAATACATTCTACGTACCCGATAGTCATAATCCAAAGCTGCTTCTGCACCGGTTAATCAACGAGCCTTTCACGAACACTATCCGTTTCCTCGCGAGACGCAAGTACCAGTTCTCACTGTGTATCAATGGCGCATCGGTATGTTACAAATCATCATGGGATCACGTTTAGATGGGAATTCCAGCTGCTCTTAATCTTCCAAGATGATTATGTCTGTTGCAGGATCAATCAATACATTACTCGATTACCAGCGGGAATATTGGAGCACCTTCGTGTCCTTCGTAGGGGATTGCAGCTTCGTGGCAAGGATATCGCGACACGAGTGGTCTGGCTCTGCGAATATAATCCTTCCACCGATCGGAGGCGAATCGAATCTAACACGAAACAGATTTAATTACAATATTCAAACATTCTCGGGTGGTAGCGTTCTCCGTTGAACGAGGATCCGTACGTGAAGAAAACACAGGTCGACACAAGTCAATTCTGAATACACACCCTTCTCTCTCTCTCTTCTACATCTGTCATCCACGAACCGATCGAAACACTCGAACGATCGCGCTTCCCCACGGGAGAGAATTCCAAGCACGCGACAATGACAAGTACTTTCCGGATAATTCTCGCAGGTCGAGGGGTGGAATTAGGTAGAAGGGAGCATACTCTTGCGTGGGAGAGACCAAGGGGTTCGCGATCGTCGACGCGAACAGGTGGCACACGCTCGTACCAAGTCACGCCGCTCACGGAACACGCGAATCTCGCGAGCTCTACGCGTCTACCGACGTAGAACGGGATACGCACACGTCGTCGCGACGGCTTGACGTCGACTGAGGTGGCGCGGATACGGCGCCTCGCGCCTGTCCGTCCCTGCTTTGCCACCGCCACCGCCGCCGCCGCCACCGCCGCCACCGCTACCACCGCCGCCGCCGCCGCCGCCGCCGTGATGCTGCCCCACTATAGAACGCGGAGGCGCCACCGACGCTTACACCCTCACCGGGTTGTCGTTCCCCTGCCGTCGCCCCCGTCAGAACTGGCGAACGCTCTCCCGTCATTCGATGTCGTTGCGACCGCGAGGGTGGACATCGACTGCGCGAGGCTCATCGGTGATTTTGAGGAACAATGACGATTGGCGGAAGAAAAGGATTTAGGACCTGAACGTTTTGTTTTAGCCTACTGTCAATTGATGAAGCTGTGCAATAGATGAATTAGGTAGTAATTTTTTTTTTCATGGTTTATAATTAGTTTTAATAATATATAAAAGACACTTGTCCGACTTAGTTTTTGGAGCAGCTATAATTAAATAAAACGTAGAAGCAAATCTGAAAACTCTCCACACGTTTAATATTGTATAAATTATGTGAAGAAAACTGAAAATTATATAGATGCAGTTTTTTTCAGGTAATTTATGTAATATTAAACGTGCGGAGAGTTTTTAGATTTGCTCCTGTTTTAATTCTAGCTGCTCCAAAAACTACGTCGGACAAGTCTTTTATCATATATATATATGTATAATTAAATAGATATGTTGTATGTGCGATATGGGTTTCCAAATATAAAGAAAAAATACAAACCCATCTCTGCAAATGTGTGTTTTAAATTATTGTGACAAAAACATTTTTGTTTTAAAGCTACATATTTAATAAATTTTTGTTTTCAATTTTCTAGATGATTAAACATGAATTTGAAACGTGATATATATGTTTCTCTATTTTTTATATTTTATCAAGAAAGAATCATAATGTCTCGATGGCAAATATACAAAAGTAATAATTTGTTGAGCGCTGCTGCCTTCTTTTATCCGCAAATTTTTATTAATTATACTTTAATCAGATTCAGAAATTACATTGATAATGCTATAATTAATAAAAGATCTAACAGCACTTACCTCATATGATAAAAATAATTTTTTTATTGCCATTAATACGAATAAGATTGATAATCGATCTTAAAATTTCGAAATATATATTCAGACTCTCAAATACACGCATTCATACACAAAGCGATTTTGGCACATAAAATGCGGTTACTAACTAGTAACTGTTGTGCATAATTTATGATATGCTGTATCATAAATAACATGATGGTATAATAAATAATGACAAATAAATTTCCAACTGCTAAATAGTTGTAATAAATATTAGCAAAATAAATATTAATATAAATAATAGAAAACATAATATACCTATATCAATTATATAACATATTAATTATTCTTTAATTCGTTTATTATTTTGAATTTGCTATATTAATCATAAAAAAATAGAAATACATTATTTTTCTCAAATTAAAAAAAAAATTAATTTAATAATGAAATATATTTACGTGTATTGCAATGTAATATGTATTTTATGATTTATTTTAATAATTAGAAAAGTATTTTTTATAGCGACAAGATATGTAAAATTGGCAATCGATTTTGAAATATATCTATGAATATCTATTACATCATCAGCTCTCCGACTGAAGAAATCCTCTTAATAAATATCTAGATGTTGGTGGACAAATTCAATACCCGAAAGATTTATACTAAAAACGATGCTAAATACTCAAACAATTTTTAATATTTTTCTTTTTTAAGATTTATAAGATCAGATATCGATATCTCTTTTCGCACTTATTGTCAATACTTTTGATGAAGCGATAAATTTTATTGAGATGTTGCTGACTCAAAGTGCAATTCTTATGCAAAATGGAATATTGGTTCGCAATTTCGAGCAAAGTGACGTTTTTATTGTACGACATACAGTTTGTTATGTCTTAATTAGTTCGGAAATGCCGTGCAAAGTGTCACGCATCCAAATTGCATAATCAACAATAATAAATTGTAATGAATTATAAAAGAAGGCCGAGGAGATATCGAGCGATGACGAAGCATTTTGAGAGGACAATTTTTATAGATTAGTTACAAACTGTTGCGAAAAAAAGAATAAAATAAAAGTTTGCCACTCACCGATCGATGTACAACAGCAGAGTTACTTACATTGAAATTATGTCGATCTGCAAAAATATAAAAATACAATTCAGATTATAACAATCTCGAAAATAATTAAGATTTTGAAAAATTATTAAAATTCAATGCATACATGTATGTATATACCTAATAATAATAAACAAATGTGTTCAGTAAGCCTAATCCTAAAGTATAGGTCGTTCAATTCTCCGTTTATATTATCGTTCGACATCTCAGTAATTATTCGCGCCAACGCGGGACAACACGTCAAAAACACATGTGATCCACGTGTTACTCGCCTGTCTTTTCCTTTGCTCGACGCGAATCGCCTGCGCAAATCCCCAAAATTCTCGCTTCGCGCCTTGGCTACGTGTCTCGGATCATTATTGAGCGTCCAGCCACGAGACGAGATAGATCAATACACCTTTTGTTGAAATATCGTCCGCCTCGTTTCTAACACTCTTGTTATAATTTGTGATTTAAATAAAAGTATATTAAAACAAATCCGCGAGTGACCATTAACAAAAACTACCGCCTTGGTGTGCGAACCTTCTATACAAGGTTTTACCAACGAGAAACAAAACAAAATGTTTAGCAAAAAATTTTTTATAGAATAATTATATAATTTTTCTTTTCTTAAATACAAGATTAGATGCACAATTAAATATATATAATAATTTTTTTTTTATTAAACATCTGTTTATTATTATTATATGAAAATTGTGTCATAGATCCGTTGCGTTAAAATGTAAACGGGTCACGAGAAATGAGACGGAGTAAATAAAAGCGCCGTTTAACGAAGCCGAGCATATACGTTTTCGCGATGGAAACCGCATATGCTAGCTCTTGCTCTATCGCGTCATTCGTCGTCGTTAGATAGGAAAAACGCTGACGCCACTAAACGCAGTAACATGTCGCACGATGATTCCGCATATAGCCGAGGAATCTGACGCGTGTCCGTTTTTCCGTCAGCTCTCGACCGCGGGCGAAAAGTTCGCTCGTCATTCCGCCGCGGGAATGGAACTTCCTGTCGCGCAGATATACGTCCGGTTGCTTTGCGTTTCGAATTATGTAACGAGCGCGCGACAGTGATCGGGCAAGAAAACCGTAACAAGATGCAACTGCATGTCCGACGAGGAACGCGGCTCCGCGAAGTGCCTTAAGAATAGCTGCGTAAAAATAACCGGCGTAGACGGAGTATCAGTGGAAAGAGAGAGAGAGAGAGAGAAACTATGTAGAGAATCTCACAATTATGCTCTTTTTTTCTTATTCATACGCAAACGCGCGCATCCGTGTTTCATTATAACATATAACATTAGTATGCATCCGCGAATGGCCGCGACTTGGCCATTTGTCACGAGTCTGTCGCAAGTTCACCCTGGTTTAATGCATTCGCGCCTCCAGGTCGTTTTCCTTCTCCAGCCCTTTGCTTCCTTCGCCCGACGTTGCTTTTGCCGCAATTTTGGAATGGCAACGCCGTTAACAGGCGGCGTTTCCTTACACGCACAAAGCAACGGTAGTCAACGTTCTGAGGTTCGCGGTCGGGCTTGACTGATGCCGGGTTTGGTTGCCGAAAAGCGCTGTCGACGCCATTCAAGCAAAAGCGCGATGCGATCGATTCGTCTACGACGTGTAACGCTTAGGGTGACAGAAATGAATTTTAACACACAAAATTTCCTTTCGAATCTGTGATATTTGAATCAAAAATTAATTATTAATTAATAACACCAATTGTGGACGCAATACGAAATTTTTGTCTCCTACATATGACATTTTGTCAGATTTGACAGAATTTTTATTATTTTGACAGATTTTGATTATTATTATTGCATTTTATAATTGAAAGATAGTTTGCAACACAGTTAATTTGTGTAATTATTTAACATGATTTATTAATTGTTTAATGTGATTCATTAAACTGTTTGTGCATATATAACGGGACTTATTGTTAGTATCGTAAATTCAAGCAAATAGATCAATACCGCGAACTGTCACATTAGCACGTCCAGATTATTGCCAGCAACAGTTTCATCGATGACTTATTATTATCGGCCAGTGAAGTCGCAGCGATAAATAACCTCCATATATCGATAATCTATTATTCGTTTCATGTTGACCTAGCGTGCGAGTTATTCTTTTTTTTTTTTTAAAAAAAAAAAAAAAAAAAAAAAGATACATATATGAGTGTTTTCAAAAGAAACGATTCTTAAATTTGCACGAGACTTAAACTGGAGCACATACGTTTGATAAGTTTCAAACCGATAGCATCTCAAACATTTACCTTGCCAAGACATCACTTTGAGTAAAATTACATTAAAAAAAATTACATTACCAATAGACAAGAATAACGTGACGAAAGATCTTTTAAAAATCTTTTCTCATTATTCGCTAATTTTCATACATCTTTCATTTTATTTTAAAAAAATATTTGAATATTTGAAAAATCTATGAGCAATATCGTAATAAGCATTAAAGAAAATTGTATGGAATTTTTGAAGCTTGTATTTATGCGTAAATTCAATTACAGCTCACTTATTACGAAAAAGCTGGCAAAATTAATAACTACAATTTTTTGCATTATTTTCAAGGATAGTGTACTATTATGCAGAGTGTACATAATGGTCGTGTAGCGCGCAACACTTGTGTAAAGTTTAAAAAATGAGTCAAGTGCGTATTGTGAATGTTACACGTGGTGTAACATTTGCTGTGCACACTTGTGACAAATGACACTTTATTGATATTGGCAGCTGCGTAAAGCATTAAAATTATTGATTTTATCATTTATCAATGCAACATCTTTAAAATCTGCAGAAAAATTAGGTAAACTGCATAAATCATATTTATTCACTATATTGTTTGCAAGAAA